GGCCAAGACGACCTACTGGGCCGTGAGGAAGAACGGACGGCAGGCTGAAAAGAGTCAAGTGTTGTGGCCTGTGAGAAAACCTTACAGCCTCCGCAGGGATAAGGCACGTGCAAGTAACGTCGCTTCAAGACCTAAGAAAGTCAAGATGCCGGGAAGAACTCCCAGAAAAAGATATCTGTGAAAATGGATCGCTCTAGATCAGAGATGCAAACGCAGCCTCACCAGAAACTTCTGACACTTAACCACGCTTTAGGCTAGTAAAGCAAAAACAAGAACTGCCCGGTCGGCACCGTGCCAATGAGGACGGGTGTTCCGGGCCCAAGGGAAGATGTCCGAGGTACCTACTGTGCTCCTTGAGCTCAAAGAGCCACGAGGACGTCGAGACCCAAGAAAGGTCTAAAGACACACGAGATGGACAACACAATCTACACAACAACAGACACGGGCCGGAACTGCTGCCTGGCACGTGCTAAACTTGCGCTGAAAAGGAACCCCTTCCACCCCCGCTTCAGCTGCCCAAAGAGCACTGTTCCTGGACAGCCCTCTCCCGTAAATTAACTTTAAAACTCCTCCCTGCAATTCCCCACCTTGGGCTGCCCCCCCCAGAGCCTTCTCCCAAGCACCGGTCCCTCAACTTATCTTTTACAGTACCAGGGGTTTGAATCCATCCTTGACAAAACAACGCCCTGGGTAACCAGGTTATTCCCACAGTTGCTAGGTTCTTCTTTGCCATCTGCACAAAAACAGGGTGAGCCACAAGTACCTTATCGGTTGATGTGCACCTCATCTGCAACACCCTCCTCAAAAGCAGTGTAGCTTTCCTCTCACCCCATCTCAAAACCGTACTAACTCCTCTCCTCAATTGCCAATGAAGGATCTGTGCTCCTTCCTAGAATTAAAATTAAACAGTACGCTTTATTAAACTATCTTGCCCCCCCCAAACAAAATTGCTAATGTAAAAAAAAAAAAAAAAAAAAAGCAAGCTACATATAAATGTTCTACCTACTATATACAATGCTGAATATTGACCGGTCCTGAAAATCTTACCTCAAATGACTGTGTTCCTCTGGAGATCAAAATGCATCTGTCTCAAAAGCTTAAATGGCTCAAAAGCTGCTATCAGCTGAAGGACTGGGAGAACACTGACACCTGAGAAACCCAGAAGTGGAATGAGCTCCCTGATGAGCGGCTGGGGCTCATATACCCCGGGCCCTGCCCACAGTCCCCTGGGAAAGGGATGCGGCCAACCCCCCCGCAGGCATAAAGCCAGCCAGAGGAGCAGAGAGGAATTTTCTCCTCTACCTTAAGTTTACAGTGTGTGAAGCACTCCGTGGAGAAAGCGACTCTTACCAGAAATGACAATACCCGCTCTTTTTCTGCACCTCTTGTGTCAGTGATGTGACCAGGTAGGCAGTTCTGCTTAATTTTTCCAGGGTGTACATAGAAAAAAATCGGTATTTTATTAGGTTCTGTAACAAAATAGTTGAATAAGGGCAATAACGATACTCTTACTGACAGTGATGTACTTTAGTTTCCAAGGAAATCAACCAAAATGCTATAGGGTTACGCTTCATTTCTACCGAGACTGTGCATGCTAGCTAGCTTCTACTGGAATTATGCTGTGGCTGGAACTAAATGACAAAGTGAGGGTAGATCCTACGAGAATCCCTCCTCTGGGAAGTCTGGAGGGGATCTGAACGGACTACGCGTGCTCTCTGAGCACTGGGGATGGAACAGACGCATCCTAGCTCCCGTAGAGGATGACATGAACTTTCTGGAGACAAACTACAGCGTCGGGAAAGGTCCTCTGGGCACGAGGAGGGTGCAAAGCGCGCCGCCGTTTTGCCAAACCATGGGGTTAACGCAAAGGGCGTGGACGCTGAGTTAAAGAGAGAGGGTTCTTTTACCAGCTGTCTTGAGGTAATGAGCGAGAGGTAAGAAACGAGGTGCTTAAGAAATAAGGCGATGTGTCCAGTCATCACTATACCAGCTGAGTCGTAGTGATTAAGAAAGATACGTCACCGATCGTCTTCGTGCTTTACCGTCACCCGGATCCGTCCTTCAGCCTGAACCCTGTCTGAACCCCCTGCACCCCAACAAATCACCCTGCACAGTTTCTGGGCCCCCTGCATCACAAACAGACCCCCCCCCTCCAACCCAAACAGAATCCCCTACGCTTTCCCCGGACCCTTGAACCTCATCTGGGCCCCCGAACTCCAATCAGACACACTGCAGGTTGCCTGGATGCCCTGCACCCCAACCAGAACCCCCTGCAACTTACCTAGACCTCTGAATCCTGTCTGAACCCCCTCCACACCATCAAGATCCCCGGCACCACGTCTGGGCCCCCTGCACCTCAAACACATCCCATGCACCCCAACCAGAACCCCCTGAACACTGTCTGAAGCCCTGGCACCCAAACAAGAACCCCTGCAATATGTTTGTGTCCCCTGCTTCCCAAACAGAACCCCTGCACGGCAACCGGAACCCTCTGAACGGTGTCAGAACCCCCTGAACACCTACGAGAACCCTTGCACCCTGTCTGGGCCTGCTACACACCAAACACACCGCCTGCAGCCCAACCAGAACCCGCTGCACCTTCCCTGCACTCCCTGAACCACAGCCTGAACCCTGTCTGGACCCACTGCTTCCCCAACAGACCCCCTGAACAAAAACCAGAACACCCTGAACCCTGTCTGAAGCCGCTGCACCCCAGCAAGAACACCAGAACGATGTCTGGGTTCCCCGCATCACAAACAGACCCGCTGCATCTTGCCTGGACATCCTGAAGCCCAAATGGAACTCCTGCATCCCAACCAGAACCCCCTGCACATTGCCTGGACCCTCTGAACCCTCTCTGAAGACCCTGCATCCCAACTAGAACCACTTGCACCTTGCCTGGACAACCTGAACCCCAACCAGAACCCCTGCAATGTGTGTGGGCCCCTTGATTCTTAAACAGACGCGCTGCACCCCAACCAGAAGTACCTCAACCCTCTCCGAACCCCCTGAACAACAACAAGGCATCCCCTGCACCCTGTCTGGGCCCCCTGCATCCCGACCAGACCCCCTGCACACCACCCAGAACCCAGTCTGAACCCCTTGCACAATAACAAGACCCCCTGCAACCACACAGAACCCCGTACGCCTTTCCTGGGCCCCCAGAACTCTGATCAGACACCCTGCACATTGCCTGGAGCCATTGAACCCTCTCGGAACCCCCTGCACCCCAATGAGAACCCCCTGCAGGTTGCCTGGACCCCCTGAACCCTCTCTGAACCCCCTACACCCCAAGCAGAACCCTTGAAACCTGCACAGCTCACCTGCTTCCCTGCACCCCAAACAGAACCCCCTGAACCCTCTCTCAACCCCCTACAACCCAAGAAGCCCACGTGAACCCTGTCTCGGCCCCCTGCATCACAAAGAGTCCCCCAGCACCCCAAACAGAATCCACTGTGCCTTGTCTGGAACCCCTGAACCCTGACTGAACCCCATGAAGCAAAACCAGAACCCCTGAACTATGTCTGGGCCTCTTGCTTCCCACACAGACGCCCTGCACGCTAACCAAAACCCCTTGAACCCTGTCTGAACCCCCTGCACCCTGTCTAGGCTCCCTGCATCCAAACCAGACTCCCTGCACCCCAACCAGAACCCCCCAAACCGTGTCTGAACACCGTAGCTGCCAACAGGGTCCCTTGCACCCCGTCTGGGTTCTCTGCATCCCAATCAGATCCCCTGCACACCAAACAGAACACCCTGCACCTTGCCTGGACCCCCTGAGCCACAATCAGAATCCTTGCACTTTGCCTGGAGGCCCTGCAAACCAAACAGACCACCTGCACCCCAATCAGAACCCCCTGAAACTTCCCTGGACCCCATGAAGCCCGTCTGAACCACCTGCACCGTGTCTAGGCTCCGGGCATCCCAACCAGAAATGGCTGCATCTTGCCTAGACACCCTGAACCCTGTCTGAACATGCAGCACCCCAACAAGACCCCCTGAATCCTGTCTGAACCCCCTAGACTCCAACAACGAGCCCTGCACCGTGTCTAGGTCACTTGTGTCCCAACCAGTCCCCACGCAACACAAACAGAACCACCTGAAACCTGACTGAACTCCCTGCATCCTGTCTACGACCCCTGCACACCAACAAGACCCCCTGCACCCTGTCTGGGTTCTCTGCACCCCAACCAGAACACCCTGAACCACGTCTGAACCCCGTGCACGCCAACAAGACCCCCTGCATCCCAAAGAGAACCCCTGCACCCTGCCTCAACCCCTTGAACGCTCCCTGAACCCCCCTGCACCACAACAAGCACCCCTGCGCCCTGGCTGGGCTCTCTGCATCCCAATCAGAAACCCCTGCACATTCCCTAGAGGCCCTGCACCCCAAACACACCCTCTGCACCTTGCCTGCACCCCCTTTCACTCCAAACAGCCCCCCTGCAAATTCTCTGGCCACTCTGCACCCTGCTTGGCACCCCTGGACCCTGTAGGGACCCCCTGTACCTCAGGCACCGTAGACCTTACCCGGGCCCCCAGAATTGTAACAAGAACCCCTGCAACCCCAACCAGACACTCTGCATCTCCTCTAGGTCCCCCTAAATCCCAATCAGAGCCCCTGCACCCGGCCCTGTGGAGCACCCTGACTTTCCCCCCAGAACCCCTGAGCGCACCACACACGCCCCAGCAGCTGCCACCATTGCCCTGAGCACCCCCCCCCCCCAAGCACCTGGATATTGTGCATCCCTGCCTGGCCCCGACTTCCCAGGACAAGAGGGGGGCTGCACCCCGCCACCAACCCCCTGTTCTCCCAGGGGTGCAGGCTGCAGGAGTGTATGGTGTCCCCACATCTGTCCATCCATCTGCCCCAGGGGTTGCGCTCCCCAGTCAGGGGGCAGGAGACATCTCATTTCCCCACAACGGGCACAACCCCCCCAACCAGCCCTCAGAGCACTGGGCGGGGGGGGAATTAGGGGACATTCAGATGAGACAGGGGGGCAAGGGGAGAACCCTTTATTTGGAGTCATGCTGGGGGCAGAGGAAAGACCCCCAGCAGGCAAGCCCCCTTGGATGGGGCAGGGGAGTTACAGGGTCTGAGGAGGGAAGAGTCCTGGGAGGGTAGGTCCCAGGGGGCCGCCCATGGAAGGGGGGCTCAGCTGCGCTCCTCCAGGCTGAGGCGGTCGAAGAGGTATTCGCCAAGGCCGCTCGGGGCCCCTCCTGGCCCCCCGGCCCCCCCAGTCAGGCGCCGCAGGTTGGTGATGTGGTCTCCCAGCGCCTTAATGGCCTTCACCTGCTCATCCAGGTAGTGGGACTCGAGGAAGTCGCAGAGCTGCGGAAAGAGGGGTGTCAGCCAGGGAGGCTCCATAGGGAGGGGACAGAAAGCTGAGGTCTGGGGCGGATGGAAAGCTTAGGTTTGAGGGGGACAGAAAGCTGGGGGGGGGGGGGAAGACAGCTTCAAGGGAGGCAGGGACACCCAAGAAGAGCTGGAGATCCCATTGGAACCACAGGGCTAAGTCCAGCACATCCAGGCAGAGACCCTGGAGGTGCAGGGGACTGGGACAAGGACCCTCAAGCAACGGGGGAAGACCCGAAGGGTTGGGCGTGGGAAAAGGAACAGGGGGACCTCCTCCTCCAGCAGCCATCTCGAGAGCCCCGCGCAGGGGGGCAGAGAGCAACTCACATGGGGGTCCCCCTTCTCAGAAGCCAGGCGGTGCAGGTCCAGCAGCGCCTGGTTCACCGACTTCTCCAGCTGCAGCGCCGCCTCCACCGCCTCCAGCGCTGAGCCCCAGGCGTCGCGCTCTGGCTTCTGGGGAGGAGGGCAGGGACGGTCACATCCCCCATGCAGCCCCCCCCGAACACAGCCACGTCCCCCCACGCAGCCCAAACCCCCCAGACTCAGCCTAGGCACCCCCCCCCACCGAACACAGCCGTGTCCCCCCATGCAGTCTGAGTCCCCCCACGCAGCCCAAGCTCCCCCAGAATCACCCCAGGCACCCCCCATGAACACAGCCACAGCCCCCCCCCCCCCGAACACAGACACGTCCCCCCACCCAGCCCAAACTCCCCAGACTCAGCCTAGGCACCCCCCCACACCGAACACAGCCATGTCCCCCCATGCAATCTGAGCCCCCCCCCAAAACACAGCCATGTCCCCCCACCCAGCCCAAACCCCCCAGACTCAGCCTAGGCTCCCTCCCCCACCAAACACAGCCACGTCCCCCCCCTGCAGCCTGAGCCCCCCCATGCAGCCCAAGCTCCCCCAGAATCACCCCAGGCACCCCCCATGAACACAGCCACATCCCCCCCCCCCATGCAGCCTGAGCCCCCCCCCGAACACAGACACGTCCCCCCACACAGCCCAAACCCCCCAGACTCAGCCTAGGTACACCCCCCCCCCCGAACACAGCCATGTCCCACCATGCCGTCTGAGCCCCTCCCCCGAACACAGCTACGTCCCTCCACCCAGCCCAAACCCCCCAGACTCAGCCTAGGCTCCCTCCCCCACCAAACACAGCCACGTCCCCCCCCTGCAGCCTGAGCCCCCCCACAATCACCCCAGGCACACCCCGCGAACACAGCCACATCCCCCCCCCCCCACACGCAGCCTGAGACACCCCCAACACAGCCACGTCCCCCCACCCAGCCCAAACCCCCCAAACTCAGCCTAGGCACCCCCCCCCCACCGAACACAGCCACGTCCCGCCCCTGCAGCCTGAGCCCCCCCACGCAGCCCAAGCTCCCCCAGAATCACCCCAGGCACCCCCCGCGAACACAGCCACATTCCCCCCCCCCCCATGCAGCCTGAGCCACCCCCAACACAGCCATGTCCCCCCACCCAGCCCAAACCCCCCAGACTCAGCCTAGGCACACCCCCCCACCGAACACAGCCATGTCCCCCCATGCAATCTGAGCCCCCCCCCGAACACAGCTACGTCCCTCCACCCAGCCCAAACCCCCCGGACTCAGCCTAGGCTCCCTCCCCCACCAAACACAGCCACGTCCCCCCCCTGCAGCCTGAGCCCCCCCACAATCACCCCAGGCACACCCCGCGAACACAGCCACATCCCCCCCCCCCCCCCCCCGCAGCCTGAGCCCCCCCCAACACAGCCACGTCCCCCCACCCAGCCCAAACCCCCCAAACTCAGCCTAGGCACCCCCCCCCACCGAACACAGCCGTGTCCCCCCATGCAGTCTGAGTCCCCCCACGCAGCCCAAGCTCCCCCAGAATCACCCCAGGCACCCCCCATGAACACAGCCACAGCCCCCCCCCCCCCGAACACAGACACGTCCCCCCACCCAGCCCAAACTCCCCAGACTCAGCCTAGGCACCCCCCCACACCGAACACAGCCATGTCCCCCCATGCAATCTGAGCCCCCCCCCAAAACACAGCCATGTCCCCCCCACCCAGCCCAAACCCCCCAGACTCAGCCTAGGCTCCCTCCCCCACCAAACACAGCCACGTCCCCCCCCTGCAGCCTGAGCCCCCCATGCAGCCCAAGCTCCCCCAGAATCACCCCAGGCACCCCCCATGAACACAGCCACATCCCCCCCCCCCATGCAGCCTGAGCCCCCCCCCGAACACAGACACGTCCCCCCACACAGCCCAAACCCCCCAGACTCAGCCTAGGTACACCCCCCCCCCCGAACACAGCCATGTCCCACCATGCCGTCTGAGCCCCTCCCCCGAACACAGCTACGTCCCTCCACCCAGCCCAAACCCCCCAGACTCAGCCTAGGCTCCCTCCCCCACCAAACACAGCCACGTCCCCCCCCTGCAGCCTGAGCCCCCCCACAATCACCCCAGGCACACCCCGCGAACACAGCCACATCCCCCCCCCCCCACACGCAGCCTGAGACACCCCCAACACAGCCACGTCCCCCCACCCAGCCCAAACCCCCCAAACTCAGCCTAGGCACCCCCCCCCCCACCGAACACAGCCACGTCCCGCCCCTGCAGCCTGAGCCCCCCCACGCAGCCCAAGCTCCCCCAGAATCACCCCAGGCACCTCCCACGAACACAGCCACATCCCCCCCTCCCATGCAGCCTGAGCCCCCCACCACCACCACCACACCCACGTCCCCCCCTGCAGCCCGAGCCCCTCCCAACACACCCGTGTGTGTGTGTGGGTGTGTGTGTGGGTGTGTGGGGGTGGGGGTGTGTGGGGGGGTGGGGGTGGGTGTGGGGGTGGGTGTCCCCCCCCACCTTGACGTCCTGCAGCAGCACCCGGCCGCCGCGGCGAGTCTGGAAGCGCAGGAGCCCCTCGGCGTGTTCCCGCTCCTCCCGCGACTGCTCCAGGAAGAAGCGGCCCAGGCGGGGCAGCGCCACGTCGTCCCGCTCGAAGTAAAACCCCTGCGGATCGGAAGGGTGAGAGGGGCAAGGAACCCCCCCACACCCCCCCCCGGGGGAGACCCCGACCCGCCCTCTCTCAACTCCTGCAAGCGACCCCCGTGGCTCCCCCCCCCCCCCCGGACGGCTGCCCCCTTATCTCGCCTTCCCAGGCGGGAACCGCCCCCCCCACCACCGGTGCCCAACAGCTCAGGGCGGGGCGGCCGCGGGGGCTCCGGGGTTGGGGGGGGGGTCCCCTCAGCCCCCCCCCCAGGACCCTACCATGGAGAGGTAGACGTAGGAAGCGTGGAGCTCCATGTTGGCCATGCGGTTAACGGCGGCCTCGCAGTCGCGGTGGTAGTTCTGGCGGATCTGGGAGTCCATGGCGCGGCGACGGACGGACGGACGGACCGACGGATGGATGGATGGATGGATGGATAGACGGACGGTAGGGGTGGGGTGGGGGGGGAAGCGGGCCGGTTCCGTTCAAGCACTGTTGAAGCGAGAACGCGGCTTCTACCGGAACAAAAGCCCGACGGGGCGTTTATATGCTCCGACGGGTGGGCGGGGAAAAGGGGAACCAAGCGGAGGGTGGGGGCCCTGCCCCGCCCCCCCCTTCCCACCCACCCCCCCCCCCACCCCCCCCCCCGGAAGGACCCAGATGGGGCGCGGTGGCCTTGGCCCTTGTCCCTGTTTGTCACACGGGCTGAGTCAGCATGACTGGGCAGGACCGGGAGGGGGGAGTCTGACCCCCGTACCCCCCCCCCCCCCCCGCAGCGCCCGGGCAGAGGCGGGAGCTGCACACAGGAGTTTGGGGGGGGGGGGGGGGGGGCACGACGACACACACACACGGCTCAGCGGCACCCCCATCTCCTTCCTAGGCTGGCAAACACGAGGAGCCTGGCCTGGCTTGGGGGGGGGGGGGGGGGGGCTCGTTTTGGGGGAGTCAGTCCCGGTCCTGACCCCATTGCCGAAGCCACAATTGTTCATGAATTAGAGTTTAATGAACGGCGGTTATGAGGTGGGGGGGGGTGAGGGGGCAAAAGAGCTGATTCAGCTCCAGGGGCCGTAAATAAGGAACTCGTCCCCACAGAGGTGCTGACTCGGGGTTTCCGCTGCTCCAGAAATGGGGGGAGGTCTGGAGGGCTTGGGGGGGGGGGGTGGCAGTAGCCCCCACCCCAGAGGGACCAGCTCCTCCCTTCAGCCTTTACTTCTCAGGGCTCCCCACAGCACAGGGGTCCAGGCTTGGCTAGGGGGGGCTGTAGCTGAAGATGGAAGCCTGCAAGGAAAGAGAGGGGTTAGCGTAGGGGGGCAGCCCCAGACACACACCCCACCCCACCTTGGGGCTGACCCCCTGCGCTCACCCAGCCCCCTTGGTCCCGGATCCAGGCGGAGAGGCGCTGCTGCAGGAAGGATATGGCCCAATCAAGGATGGTCCGGAGGGGGTGGTCACCCCACAGCGCCTGCAGGGACCCAGGAGTCAGACTCCAGCACCCACAGCATCCGAGGACCCCCCCAGGGGGGCTGGGTATCATCCCCCCACTCCCCAGACTCAGGTTTCCAAGCTCCCCCCCCCGCCCCGACCCCAAATATACAGCTGCCCCTGGGGGCGGGGGGGATCCTCTCCCTCCCTACTCTCCCCAGAGACCTCAGGTGCCCCTTCCAGGGACCCAGACATCAGCGCCCCCCCCCCCGGGGCGGGGGTATCCAGGTGTACCTGCCAGACCACCCGGTAGGTGAAGTAGAAGAAGACAATGATCCGTCCCCAGTTGATGCTGTCCTGGAAGAGCTGCTCGGAGATTTCAGCCAGGGCGAGCAGGGTGGGGCGGCCAGCCAGGGCCCCCACCAGGCTGGGGGCACAGGGGAGGGCAGTGGTGAGGCTGGGGAGGGGTGATGGGGAGGGGGGGTGGTGGTCAGCCGTGGAGCACCCACAGGGGTCTCACCTGTCCATCTCGCGGTCCTGGCTCAAGCGGTCCCAGACACGGAGGGTGGTCGCACGCAGCGAAGCCACGGCAGTCTCTTCCCCCACCTCGCCCCCCAGTTCCTCGGGGGCCACCGGCCGGGGCACCCTCTCCTCCCGCTCCAGCAGGCAGAGGACAAACCTGGGGAGGGAGTAGGGGTGAGGGGGAGGATGCCCTCCTCCCCCCGTCCCCAGCCCCCAGGGCAGGGGAACCCCTTGACTCACCCCCGGAGCAGGGCACCCCCGATCCGCACGATGCAGGAGATGCTCTCGGCATCTGCTGGGAGGGGGGACACACACACACACACAGAGAACAGGGAGCCCCCACCACCTTCACCCAGCCCCTCAGATGCCCCCTGCACCTCCCCAGATGCCCAAAACAGACCCAGGTGTTGTCGCCAACCCCCCCTACACACACTCCCAGCCACATAGGTAAAGTGAAACAAAAGTGAAACCGGCCCTGCTCCACCCACCTTCCCCCCCCCCTCCCAGTACCTGCACCCCCCCCTTTATACCTGCCCCCACTGGGGTCTCCAGCAGCCCCACACCCTGCTGCCCCTCCATTCTGCACCCCAGGACCCAGAGGGCTTCCAGGAAGCTGGGCGTCGTGTAGTGTTTCCCGCCCCCCCCCACTCCCCACCATGGGTGGGGCGAGGCAGAGCAGCACAGTGACACTCCTTTGGGGCTCCCCAAGAGGGTTTCGGGGGGACCGGGGTGGGGTGGTGTTACAATGGCCAGAGTACAGCCAGGGAACGCCGGCGGCCCAACACGAAGCACCACATGGCTCCGTTTCCCCTTTATTTCAACATCAAAATACCCAAGATACAAAACAAGGTACAAAAAAAGAAAGGGGGAAAAAAAAAAAAAAATCAAAAGAAAACCAGGGGGAAGGCAGGGCTCCCCCCCCCATGACATCATCATTTCATGACATTGCCCCCAAAAGCACCAAGTAGGGTAGGTCACTCTGCCCCCACCTTGGGGCAGCTCCTTGGGGACAGTGATTGCAAAGGAAGGGGTGTAAACAGGGGGTACAGCCCCCCCCACCCTGGGAGCCACTGCCAGGGTGGGGGCCACCACCCCGGGAGGGGGGTATTGCACCTGGGGGGGGGCCTTTCTCAGGGCAGGGCGCCCCCAATAAATACCCGACCTGCAGCCGTGACCGCAGCCCTCCCCACCCCATGCCCAACAACCCCATTTTGGGGGGTCACAGAGCCCCGCCCCCCCCCCCCCCCGTGTGGGGGAGGCAGGGCTGGGATCGCAGGACCCCACATAAAGCACCACAAGTCCTGCGGTCAAACCGCTCCGAGGCCAGGGCTGTGCTGGGGGGTCACAACCACCCGTTCCCGGGCATCGGGGGGACCCCAGCACTGGGACTGGGGGGGGAGGTGAGAAGAGTGAAGCTGTGTGCGCGCACACACACACACACACACACACACCCCCTCCCCAAATCCAGCAGGGTGACACAGCAGCATCCCAGCTGAGGCCCCCGGGCATTCGCCCACTGTCAGGGGGAGGTCTGGGGGGCCACAGCTGCCCTGGGGGAGGGAGGGTCCCCCCAGCTCAGCCTCATGAAGTTTAGAACAAGTCCTAACAAAGTCCAGTTTGTTAAAAAGCGCCCCCTCTCCTGGAAGGCACAGCACCCAAGGGGGCGGAGGGGGGGTCAGGCAGCACCATCCCTGCCCGCAGGGGCCAGTCCTGGGGGGGCGGGGGGGTAGGCTGCAGCCCCCCCTTCCCCAAGTCTACGACATCTTCCAGATGGTGAGTGAGGCTGTGAGGACGCCGGCAGCGAAGATGGTGATAGTCTGCCAGGTCGGGGTGCCGAAATAGGAGAGGAGCCCTTCCTGGGGGAAGATGGAGGGGAAAGGAATGGCCATCAGCCACATGTCAATGTCCCCCCACTCCCCCTGGCAGAACCGAACACCCGGATCCCCTCCCCGCAGTAGAAAACGCGTTGGTGAGAAGCAGGACAGGGGCTGGAGGGCAGCAGCCTGAAGGTGGGGTGAAGGACACCGGGGGTGTCACAGGGGAGGGCCCTTCCTGACCCCAAGTCGAGCAGGACGACAGGGTTAAAGTCTTCAGAGTCAAGAGAACCTTTTCAGCCAGAAAAGCAGTGCAGGTCTCCCGTGCTGTGCGTGAGGGGGTCTGAAACAGGGGCTCAAGCCCACCCCACCCCCCCTGCCGCCACCCCCCCCCCCTCAGGGCTCGGGGGCTCACCCATCCTCCCTGAGCCTGGATCCAGGCCAGGACGTGCTCCCGCATGTACTCCATGGTCCAGCTCAGGATGGTCCGAACCAGCTCCGGGACCTTGGTGCAGAGCGCCTGCAGAGATGGGGGGGGGGGTCAGAGGGAGCTGCGGGGGACCCTGAGGGGGTTCTCAGGGGAGGGTCACGGCGCCCACCTTCAGCACCAGTTTGCAGGCGAAGTAGAAGAGGGCAACGACCCGTCCCCAGTTGAAGGTGCCATCGGCAAACATCTCCGCAGCCACGCGGAAGAAGAGCTCCTTGGGGGCATGGCACCCCACTTGCTCGATCATCCTGGGGGGGGGGGGGGGGGTGGGGCGGTCAGCAGGGCTCCTTAGCACAGGAGGGGGCACCGGGGACCCACCCCCCGTCCCCTCAGGGTGCTCCCCCCCCCTCACCTCTGCAGCTCCGTGTTGCTGTCGAGCTCGTCCCCGATGCGGCGCAGGCACTCGCTGAGGCGTTTGGTGTCGGGGCTGCTGGGCTGCGGGCCCCCCAGCTCCGCCTGGCTCAGGGCCACCGCCTGAGCGTCCCCGCAGCGCTCCACGCGGTCCCGGATGAACCTGGGGGGCGGCAAGAGGAACCCCCGGAGCTCTGGGTGGCCCACACAGACCACCCCCGCCAGCCGGGGGGGGGGGGGGGGGGGCTCCCCCCAGCCCCCCCGCCCGCCAGCCGGGGGGGGTCTCCCTCCGGAGAGTCGCCCCTCAGGCCCCGACCCCACACCCCCCCCCACTCACCCACGCAGCAGGATCGCCCCGGTCCGCATGATCTGGTCTGACGAGGCACCTGCGGAGTTGGGGGGACGCTGACCGGGGGGAGCGGGAGGGGGACACCCCCCCCCCCCCCCTCGCAAAGGCCCCACAACAGCCCCCCGGGGGTCCCGCCCGCCCGGTCCCCCCGAACTCACCACCTCCCCCCGGGGGTGGGTCGGGCTCCCGTCCACCGGAGCCGCCGCCCCCCCCCGCCTCGCCGCTGCCGCCCCCGCCGCCGCCGCCCCGCTGGGCCGCCGCCGCCGCCGCCATCGCGCTTTCCCCCCCCCCCCCCCCCAAACCACGTGGTCCAGGGCACCGGCGTCACGTGACACCAGCGGCGGGGTGGAGGAGGGGGGGGGGAAGAGGGAAGTGCGCGGCTGCCGACCGCGCCTCGGTCACGTGGAGGGGGAGGCGGGGAAAAGTCACGCGATAGCCCCCGCCGCATGATAGGCACGAGGGTGACGTAACGCAGCCCGCGCCACACACGGGTGGCAACTAGGGGGAGGGAGGGGGGGGGGAAGGTGTTAGGCCACGCCCCTCACGACCAATCCCCGCCCATCACGGATCAGCCCGCCCCTTGTACCGCCCCTCAGGGCTCAGCCTTGCCCCTCTCTTCGCCCCGCCCCTCACGACGTAGCCCCGCCCCTCGCGACTCAGCCACGCCCCTCAGGACTCCGCCTCCTCCAAACCCTTTATTGCTTCAACATGGCCGCCGAGTGCCCCCCCCCCCCCCCATAGCTCCTCCTCCCCCTCCCCGCACCACCAATGGACGCCTCTCCCGCCTCAAGCAGTGTGGCCAATCGGGAAGCAGAGCTCCTCGCCGTCCTCCAATGGGGCGCCTTCCCGCTCAGCTGGGCAGAGAGGAGGCGGGACCCGGGGGGTGATGGCGGGGGCCGGGTCGGCCGCACTCTCCCCATCCTCCTCTTCCTCCTCCTCCTCCTCATCCTCCCCCCCCCGCCGGTCCTGCGGTGCCGGGGGGTCGTGGGGCGCCGGGCGCAGGGCCGTGAGGGGGATGGGCAGCACGGCCGCCGCCATCAGCCCCAGGGTGAGGGCCAGGGCCCAGGGGGGGTACGGCTGCGGCCACAGCCTGGCCTGCGGGGAGGATGGTCAGGGGGGCCGGGGGCTCCCTGGGAGGGGGGGGGGGGGGGAGGTCGCAAGGTGTGTGAGGGGGGCCATGGGGCCGTGAAGGGGCAGGGGAGGTCTTGGAGTGGGGGGGGCTGTGGGGCTATAAAGGAACGGGGGAGGTTGTGGGGTACTGTGGGGCTATAAAGGAATAGGGGAGGTTGTGGGGGGGCTGTGGGGCTATACAGGAGCAGGGGAGGTCTTAGGGTTGGGGGGGCTGTAGGGCCACGAAGAAGCGGGGGAGGTCTCAGGGGATGGGGGGTCCCTGCCATGGGTTGGGGTCTCACCGTGGCGCGGTCCCAAGCCTGGTAGGTGGGGGGGTGCAGGGCCAGCTGTCCCAGGCTGGCCCCCAGCAGAGCCAGCAGGGCCCCGGGGCTGCCAAAACGCCACAGGGGCCCGTAGAGCCGCCACGGCCGATGGCCCGTCACCTCCCGCACGACAGCCAGAAACCTACAGGACAGAGCGGGCGGGTCAGGGGGTCCACGGGGGAGTTTGGGGGGGGGATTGTGGCTGCAGTCAGAGGACTCCCCCCCCCTCCCACTCACCTCTCGGCCCCATAGACCCAGGCCACAGCCACGGCCTCGCAGGCGGCCACGGCCAGCAGCGGCAGTGTGGCCACGTAGTCATCGAAAGCGGCCACCAGGTAGCTGCCGGAGCGCTGTGCGAAGGGCAGCCCCAGCACGAAGCCCCCGATGCAGCACAGCACTGGAGGGGCAGAGCAGTGGGTTTTGGGGGAGGGGGGGGGTGTCCCCATCCCTGCACCCCCCCCATCCTCCTTTGTGTGCCCCCCCCCCCCAGCCGTACCGGTGAGCAGAGCGCGGCGGCGGCGCAGGACGGGGAAGGCGTCGAGCAGAGGCGTGAGCACGGCCTGGGCGATGCCCAGCATGGTGCCCAGCCCCAGCCCCAGCAGCGTGAGGAAGAAGAGGGACGACCAGAGTGGGGCCACCGGCAGCAGCGTCAGCGTCTCCGTGAAGACGATGAAAGCCAAGCCCGGGCCTTCCACCCCCTGAGGTGAGGAGGGTGGTGTTCAGGACCCTCACCCGAGTTTTGGGATGGGGAATGGGGGGGGGGGGGGGGGGGCGACGACACCCCTTAACCGGTTTGGGGGAGCATTGCCCATGAGGTGGGGTGGGACGGATTTGGGGGCCCCGTTGCCCTCCCCATGCCGCCGGCTGGGAGGGGGATGTGGGGCAGGTTAGGGGAGAGGGGACAATGTGGGGGACCCCACCCCAAAGGGGAGGTGTTCGGCTTGCCACTGGCATTGCTGTAACAAGCTGTTTTGAAATGTGCAGCTTTGCTCTGAGAAAATTTAAGTAGACCTTGAGATGGTTTGCTAAGCTTCCCGAGTACCCCTGATAAAAGGGGCCCGAGACACCCGTGTCAAGATAAGCACCTGCGAATTAATTAAAAACTGACCTTCTTGGAGCATCCCAGGGCTGAAAAATAGATGAGCTAACTCCATGAGCATATATGGGCAAAGGAATCCCAAAGTTCAGTTAGCAGACACTGTGAGGGAGACTATGGACAACCACCAGCAGAGGAGAAGACCCTAACCCTAATTTTGTCACGTATGCTCAGACTATGTAGGTAAGTTCTAGGAAATCTTACGTATATGTAGATTAGTTCTAAAAAATTCACTGAATACGTATAACCTCGCAGCATATATTCTCTGTGATTTTTATCTGTCCGTTGGAGCACTCGTGGTGGAGCGATCCCCGGCGCTGCCGATAAAGAATACCTGCTGAACAGTTACATCGGACTCTAATGTTGAGTGAATTTCTGGGTTTCATCACCTTGTTCATCTCCTCCTCCAGGCAGCAGTCGGTGAGGCCCAGGGTGTCCCGCAGAGCTGGGGGCAGCCCCCTCAGCCAGGCACTGTACTGGGGGGCCGCCAAGGCCGTGAGGTTCCTGGGGGGCCGGGCAGTCTCAGGCAGCCCCCCCGCCACCAGTGCCCGCGACACCAACTCCACGTTCCTGGTGGGGACAAGGTGAGGGGGCGGGGGGGGAACGGGGCACACACACGCCGGCCGTGCCCCAGGGACCCCCCCACCCCACCCCCAAAAAAATACCTGTGGAGGCAGTGCCGCGTGCGGCGGGTGGCACGGGCGCCCAGGACGGCGAAGACGACGAGGGTGGCCAGGAGGGAGGTGAGGGCGTTGAGCCCGGCCACCAGCACGGCGTCGCGGTGGCAGTCGCCGCGGCGCGCGCCGTAGCTGGCGTAGGCGATGACGCTGCCGAAGCCCAGCCCCAGCGCGAAGAAGACCTGGGTGGCCGCTTGCCGCCAGGCCTGGCCCGTGCCCCACGCCGACACCTGCGGGGACGCAGCAGGTTTGGGCTGAGCTCTGTGTGTGTGTGTGGGGGGGGGGTGTTTCCGATTTGGGAGGGGGGGGTCCCCGGGGCAGGGCCTCACCTTGGGGGTGAACATGATGCGGATGCCCTCGGGGGCCCCCTCGAGCAGCAGCCCCCGCACCAGGAGGCAGAAGAGGACGACGTAGGGGAAGAGGGTGCTCACATACAGCACCTGCGGGGACAACTGTCACCCGTGGGGCCGCTGGGACACCTCCACCCCCCCCGCCCCCAGCACCCCAAACCTACAGCGCCTGCAGAGACAACACACCAGGACCCCCCTCAGCACCCCAAACCTACAGCGCCTGCAGAGACAACCGTCACCCGGAGGGACACCAGGACCCCTCCGGCACCCCAAACCTACAGCGCCTGCAGAGACAACACACCGGGACCCCCCTCAGCACCCCAAACCTACAGCACCTGCAGAGACAACCGTCACCCGGAGGGACACCAGGACCCCTCCGGCACCCCAAACCTACAGCGCCTGCAGAGACAACACACCGGGACCCCCCTCAGCACCCCAAACCTACAGCACCTGCAGAGACAACCGTCACCCGGAGGGACACCGGGACCCCTCCGGCACCCCAAACCCCCCGCCCCTTCAGTGCCATATGCCCCCGGCACTGCCTGCCCCCTCTGCAACATGCACCTCACAAGACACACCCCCCCCCAGCCCTCTGGAACCAGGCAGCCCCCCTGTCCGCAGCACAGGACCCTCCTGAACCCCCCGCCCCCCCCCCCCCAGCATTGTGGGGCCACTTCACCCACCTTTCCCGAGGACTTGATGCCTTTGAGCAGGGAGGCCCCCACCAGGGCCCAGGCCCCCAGGAGCCCCCCCACCAAGGCTGGCTGAAGCCCCCCCCCAACCCCCATCTCGGGGGTGACGTCCAGTGTCTGCCGGTACCAGAAATAGGTGGTGGGTGAGCTCAGGGCGCACTCGGGTTCTGGGGGTGGGTGGACACACACACAGCAGGTCACGGCAGGGTCGGGGCACCCCGAGACACCCCCCCCACACCCACCCCACCCCCCTCGCCCCTCGGGTTACCCACCTGTGCGGTTGGGGCCGGCGCTGGGGCAGCTCTGCCAGGGCAGGGGATGCTGGAAGGAGCGGGCGAGGTAGATGAGGCTCCAGGCGATAATCACGTTGTAGTACAGCGCCACACACATGCACACCTGTAGGAGCAGGGTGGGGAGGCACATCAGCCGGGACCCTGCCGCAGGGGCGTCTAGGTGGTACCCAGGGACACCCCCCACCACCACCACACACGCATCCCCTGATGCCACCCCACACACAACGAGCATCCCGCAGGGGGACACCCCCCCCCCAGCAGTGAGTGTCCCCACAGTGCATCCCCCAAGGGTCTCCCGTGGTGCCTGGACACCCCCCCTGGCCCCATACCAGGCAGTGGACACCCCCAGAGACACCCCCCTGGCCCCATACCAGGCAGTGGACACCCCCAGCCCCCAGAGACACCCCCCTGGCCCCATACCAGGCAGTGGACACCCCCAGCCCCCAGAGACACCCGCCTGGCCCCATACCATGCAGTGGATGCCCCCAGAGACACCCCCCAAAGGGTCTCCCGTGGTGCCTGGACACCCCCTCCGGCCCCATACCAGGCAGTGGATACCCCCAGAGACACCCCCCTGGCCCCATACCAGGCAGTGGACACCCCCAGCCCCCAGAGACACCCGCCTGGCCCCATACCAGGCAGTGGACACCCCCAGCCCCCAGAGACACCCCCCTGGCCCCATACCAGGCAGTGGACACCCCCAGCCCCCAGAGACACCCTCCTGGCCCCATACCAGGCAGTGGACACCCCCAGCCCCCAGAGACACCCCCCTGGCCCCATACCAGGCAGTGGACGCCCCCAGAGACACCCCCCTGGCCCCATACCAGGCAGTGGACACCCCCAGCCCCCAGAGACACCCCCCTGGCCCCATACCAGGCAGTGGACGCCCCCAGAGACACCCCCCTGGCCCCATACCAAGCAGCTGGCCAGCCCAATGCCAGCCAGGCGGGGACTGATGCTCCTCCAGACACCGATGCTGCCCTGACGCAGGCACTGCCCAGCCGCCAGCTCCAGGAAGAGCAGGGGGATGCCCAGGAGGAAGAGGAGCAGCAGGTATAGCAGGAGGAAGGCACCTTGGGTGGGGACGGGAAGGTGAGGGCGGGGGACAGGACCCCTCAGCACCCCCCCCACCCCAGCACCTCCCAGCACTCACCGCCCCCGTTCTGGTGGCAGAGGTAGGGGAAGCGCCAGACGTTGCCCAGCCCCACGGAGAAGCCCAGCTGGGCCAGGATGTACTGGACTTTACTGGCCCAGGCAGGGCGGGGGGATGGATCCTCCTGGAGGGGCCTGGTGTCTGCCCCCAGCACTGGCCGGGTCTTCTGCATGGCGGGGGGGCTGCGGCGCAGACACAGACGTCGGGGCCACGCTTGGCACACGCACGCACACACACATACACCCCCACACACACACACCCCCCACCGTGTGACCCGCGGGAACTCGCACACGCGTGGTGCGGCGTGCTGGAGCGGAGCAGCAGCCGTGCACGCGCGCCCACGCGTGCGACAGCGGCCGGCGGTGCACGTACACGCGTGCCAGCCCCGCGTGTGAGCCCCGAGTGGGTCCTGAAACCCACTTGTGGCTCCTCCTTAGCAGGAACTCGGAGCTCCCGGAACAATTCTGGATGCTGGAGGACCCAGGTGCCCCGGGCAGCCCCCCAGCCCCCAGCCTCCCAACCAGTCCCACAGACCCCCCAGCCCTGCAGATCCCCAGCCAGTCCCACAGACCCCCCAGCCCTGCAGACCCTCGGCCACTCCCACAGACCCCCCAGCCCCCCAGAACCCCCATTCCCACAGCCCCCCAGGCAGTCCTGCAGACCCCCCCATTCCCCAGACCCCCCATTCCCCCAGACCCCCCAGTCCCACAGACCCTCAGGTAGTCCCACAGACCCCCCGCCCCCGGCCCCACTCACCCAGGGTCCTGCGTGCCACGACCGGTTGCATCAGCCGGGACGGGTGGGATGGGCCGGGACGGGCCGCCCAGAGGCGTCACCCCCAGATCCCCCCCCGCCGCCGGCCCCCGGGGGAGGCAGCCCCAAAACCTGGGCTCCCCGGTGCATCATCTTCACCATCACCATCCGCACCGTGGCCGCCATCCCCACCGTCATCTCTGCTGGCGCAACCCCCCTGGGAGATGACGGGGGGGAGGTGGGTGTCACCAGGGGGTCATTAAACCTTCACAGGGCGGCTGATGGGGGTCCCTTCCTGGGGGGGGGGTGTCCTGTCCGGGCGGCACAGAGCAGCCCGGCCCTGGTGCCGCCCCACGCGGGACGTGCCCCCACGGAGCTTCCGCCACCCCGAGTGTTTCCTGCCCCAACACGGAGCTGGGGACGAGGCCGCCCACGGGAGACACGGCTGCAGGTGCCCGGCAGGCTGGGGGGAGCTGGGGTTGTCTGGGGTGCTTTCCCCCCGCAAAGGGGCCAGAGCGGTCCCCAAGTGGGCGCTGACCCCTTGTGTCTTCCCCCCCCCCCGACCCCGGGTGCAGACATGAACCCCAAAAGCTGCCTCGGGTTTGCCAAGTGTTTCCTCTTCCTCTTCAACCTCTTCTTCTTCGTGAGTGGGCCAGGGGGAGAGAAGAGGGGTGGGGGGACAGGGGGCTGGGGGGTTGTGGGGGCACAGGGGGGATGTGGCGCTGGGGATCTCGAGGGTGCAGGAGGGACATGGGGATGGGGAAACACGGGGTTGCAGGGGGGATTGGGGCTGGGGGGCCCAGCCGCGCTTTGTGGGGGGCTGGTTGGGGGCCAACGATTTCCTCGGGCCTGTGGGAGCCGTGGGGCCAGTCATGGCCCCACGCTGACCTGGGCCGGGCCCTTCCCCGGCCCCCCAGGCTCTGGGCAGCCTCCTCCTCGCCTTCGGCCTCTGGGTCCTCTTCGACCGGCAGAGCTTTGCCGCCGTGCTGGGTAAGCGACCCCTGAGCCGTGGGGCACCCTGAGTCACAGGGCACCCCCAAGCTGTGGGGTGCCCTGACACCCCCCCCCCCCGCCAGGGTCGCCGCTGTACAGCCTGCGAGCATGGTCCTACGCCTTCTCGGGGGTCGGCATTGTGACGATGCTGCTGGGCTTCCTGGGGTGCCTGGGCGCCCTCAGAGAGATCAAGGCCATGCTGCTGCTGGTGAGTGGGGCAGGTTGGGGGGCCGAGGGGGTTGGGGGGGCCTGTCTGGAGGGCAGGGACTCTGCTGCAACTTCCTGGGGTGGCCACGGGGCCACGTGGTGCCACCACATCCTGTGCTTGTGGGGCAGCAGGGGGGAGCGGGGGGGAGCGCACCGGCCCCTCTGCGCTCCCTGGGGCTATGTGTGGGGGGGTGGGGTGCAGCTGACCCCCACCTTCCCTCTCCTCCCCCCAGTACTTCGGGATCCTACTGCTGCTCTTTGCTGCCCAGATCACAGTGGGGGTCGTCATCTACACACAGCGGGTGACCGTGAGTGTGGCGCTAGTGGGGGTGCTGGCTGTGTGGGGCAGGGCTGTGGGGGGGACACTGGCGCCGTGGGGCAGAGCCGTGGGGGCACTGCGCTCAGCCCTCCCCCCCCGCAGCTGGCCACCATGGTGGCCACCTATGCGCAGGAGCTGATCCAGGGGTACCCAGCCCAGGGGCCACCCGGGGACCCGCACGAGAGCTGGGATGCCATCCAGCAGCAGGTGAGACCTCACAGGGTCCCCCAGCCCCACGGATGCCCCACAGCTGCCCCACTGACCCACCTTCCCCCCAGCTCGGTTGCTGCGGCTGGAATGGACCCCAGGACTGGAACCCCTCTGGGGACACGGCTGTTGCCTGCTCCTGCCTTGAGCCACCAGCACCTAACAGCACCTACGGGGCCCCCCCAGCACTGCCCCATGGCCGCTGCCCCATGGCTGCCCCCCAGGACATCTTCCCCAGGGTAAGGCACAGCAGGTGCAGCATGAGGGGCTCAGCACAGGGCTCTGGGGGGGACCAGAGGGGTCCTGGAGCTCTGGGGGAGTGCAGAGTAAAGTGTTTCGTGGCCTGTGGGGCTCCAAGTTTCCCCCCAGTTGTCACCCCCCTCCCGGCAGGGCTGCGCTGAGGGTGTCCAGGTCTGGCTGGCCGAAAACCTGGTCACGGTCGTGGGGGTCTGCCTGGGCATCGGCCTGATGGAGGTAGGGGGTCTGCCTCAGGGTTAGGTGGGGCTGATCTGGGGGGCAGCCGAGGGACTGCGAGGCCACGGGGCGGGCTGGGGTGGTGAGGCAGTTCACAGGGCTGTGGGGCTGATTTGGGGGGTGGGCTGGGGTAGTAGTTCACGGGGCTGTGGGGCTGATCTGTGGGGCGGGCTGGGGCGGTGGGGCAGTTCACTCACGGGGCTGTGGGACTGATCTGTGGGGCGGGCTGGGGTGGTGGGGCAGTTCATGGGGCTGTGGGGCACTTTGGGGGGCTGTGGGACTGATCTGTGGGGTGGGCTGGGGTGGTGGGGCAGTTCATGGGGCTGTGGGACTGATCTGTGGGGCGGGCTGGGGTAGTAGTTCACGGGGCTGTGGGGCTGATCTGGGCGGCGGGCTGGGGCGGTGGGGCACTTTGGGGGGCCGTGGGGCAGCAGGGTGCGGTGCGGGGGGCAGCGGGGCAGCCCGGGGGGGGGGGCCATGGGGTGGTTTGGTGGGATCAGGGCAGCCGTGGGGGCAGCGCCTTACCCTGTCCCCCAGCTCTGTCTGCTGATGCTGTCGATGTTCGTGATCAGGAACCTGGACCCCGACTACGAGAAACTGCTGCGGGGGCTGTGAGGGGATGGGGGGGGGGGGCGGGGGGGCTGCCGGGTCTCTGCTCCCCCCTCGGCTCTCGGTCAATAAATCCCGCTGGAAGCAGCACGACGGGGCCGGGGAGACGCGCCGCCACCGGCCCTTTGCTGTGGGCGGGAACGGCTCGCGCCCGGCCCCGCCCCCTCCTCCGTTTTGGGGGGGAACGGCTCGCGCCCGGCCCCGCCCCCTCCTCCGTTTTGGGGGGGAACGGCTCGCGCCCGGCCCCGCCCCCTCCTCCGTCTGGGCGGGAACGGCTCGCGCCCGGCCCCGCCCCCTCCTCCGTTTTGGGGGGGAACGGCTCGCGCCCGGCCCCGCCCCCTCCTCCGTCTGGGGATGGGAACGGCTCGCGCCCGGCCCCGCCCCCTCCTCCGTTTTGGGGGGGAACGGCTCGCGCCCGGCCCCGCCCCCCTCCTCCGTCTGGGCGGGAACGGCTCGCGCCCGGCCCCGCCCCCTCCTCCGTTTTGGGCGGGAACGGCTCGCGCCCGGCCCCGCCCCCTCCTCCGTTTTGGGGGGGAACGGCTCGCGCCCGGCCCCGCCCCCTCCTCCATTTTTGGGGGGAACGGCTCGCGCCCGGCCCCGCCCCTTTTCCGTGGGCGGAACGGCTCGCGCCCCGCCCCGCCCCTTTCGCTGTGGGCGCGAACGGCTCGCGCCGTTCTGAGGGGATCGCGTCCCGTCCCCCCCCCCCCCCCCGCCCCCCCCCCGCGCCGCGCCCTTGGCCGCCTCCCCTCAGCCGTGCCCCCCCCCCCCCCCCCGACACTCAGGACCCCCAGCCGTGCCCCAGGGCAGAGGGGACCCCCCAGCACGGCCCCCCATCTCCGGCGTGATGGCTGCGGAGGGGCCCCCAGGCCCCTCGCCCCGCACCCCCAGCGCCGCCGCCCTCCGCAGGGAGGCTGCTCCGCCGGCGGTGGAGGCAGAGACCCCGCGGGACCCGTCACGAAGTGGGTACCGGCCGCCAGCCCACCCGCGTCAGCTGGCGGGCGAGGAGATGGACCCGGGGTGGGTGGCGACAGGACAGGCCCCTCCATAACCTCTCCCGTTCCACCCCCCATCAGCCCCGGGCGGCGCAGCCACACGCCAGGGTGAGAGCTGCTGCTCAGAGGAGTTCGTCCTCAACCGCACCTTCGCCGTCTGTGACCCCGAGCAGACAGGTAGCGAGGGGCTGGTGCCGGTGCAGGGGAGCTACAGCCCCGGATGCAGCTTCAGAGCACCTCTGAGGGCTCGGCCTGCGGTTAACCTGGCTCTGTCACAGGGGAGGCTGCCGGAAAATCCCTCTCGCTCTTGGCTTGCCCACACCCGGGGACGGGGAGGCATTCGGGGGGGCCCCAAACCACCTCACCTCACACCCTGCCCCCCAGCACAGCCCTTTCCCAGTCCCACCCCTGGATTAGGAGCTGTTCACCAGCCGTGGGCAAGGGCAGGGGTGTCCCCACAGACTGATGAGCTGCCCCATGCCGCAGGGACGGTGCTGGCAGGGCAGGTGGTCGAGTACCTGCAGGCGCTGACGGGGCAGAGCGGCGAGGAGGGCCAGCTGCGAGCACTACACCACATGCTGGACCCCGAAGCGGCCGGCGCGGCGCTGGACTTGCCCACCTTCCACGCCATCATGAGGGAGTGGATCGCATCATGCCAGCAAGAGGGGTCAGTGGCAGGGGACCGGGGCCAGAAGGCAGTTCTTTGTGTGCTGGCTAGTGCAACCAACGGTTCCCATCTCCCTAGGGGCTCGCGGCTCGCCGAGGAGCAGGATGCAGCATCAGGCGACCTCAGCTTAGTGCTGGCGGGTGGGTGTCAGTGTGGGAAGGGGCCAAGGGGAGGGAGGGGGGGAATCGGTGCCCAGTGGAGCGGGGTTGCCGGAGCCACGGTGGAGCCGGCGGGCACCCCTGGTCGGGCCAGGTCCCCCCTCCACCTCAACAGGGAGGCTCAGCCACAGCCACAGCGAGACCAGCAGCCACCACCGCCGTCCTTCCTGCCCCGCTGACACAAGCTGCGCCGCTGACAGTATTTGTGGAGGCACATGGGTGCTGGCTCATAGGCACAGCACCAGCAGGAGCCGATAGCTTTGAAACCCGGGGAAGTCATTTCAGCGCTGCTGGCCCCAGGTCCCTCCTGACAGCAGAGGGTCAGATGGACAGACAGACACCAATGGCATTGAGAAAGAGCCTGCCGTCCCCCCGGCAGCACCGCTGCCCGCTCAGCCAGGGCTGCCAGGGCACAGCCCCGAAACCCCTTTGTGCCTGTCCTACAGTTGGGGAAGGACGCACGGCCCTGGCCGCCGCACAGCTCGAGGGCGATGGCGGCAACATGGACATCATGAGCCTGTAAGTGCCGGCTGCGTGCTGGTCCCAGCCATGCTCTGCACCGGGGTCCCCCAGCAATGCCAGCCCTGGACTGAGTATCCCCAAACTGGCAGCACATCCCAACCCCCCCACAGCACCGAAGCCGCCGGCCTGCGCAGCCGTGCAGAGCAGCTGGCCACCCAGAACGCCAAGCTGCAGCAGGACGCCGAGTCGGCTGAGGAGCTCAACGCCTGCCTGGCTGAGGAGACGGCGCAGCTGAAGGCTCAGCTGCGATGGTGAGACCCCAGGGCAGGGCTGGGGGGCTGGCGGTGGGTGCTGGGGCGGGTGGCCGCCCCCTTCCCGGTGGACGCTCACCCCTGGGGTGATGGGGACGGGGCTGCTGGGCTCCAGGACCGCACCGAAACACCGGTGTACGGCTGTCCCCAGCAGCAGCCAGCAGGCACTGGAGCAGGCCAGAGCTGCTGCCGAGGAGCTGGAGGACCTGAAGGCCGTGACGAAGGGGCTAGAGGAGGAGAACAGTGAGCTGCGCCGGCAGGCACGCCAGCTGGTGAGGGATGCAACCTCCTCACTCCCAGCGAGCGCCGAAAACCACCACTGAGGTGCGAAGGTGGCTCAGGGCCCCGTGCCTTCCCTCCCCAGGAAAAGGAGCAGAGGCACCTGTGTTTGCAAGCCAATAGCCTGCAGGAGGAGGTGAGGATGCTGCCGGGGGCCGCGCGGAAGGGGGCATTGCCCCAGCAGTGCCAGGGTCGTGGTGAACACCAGCCCCTTCTGCCCTGAGCAGAACCAGCAGCTGCTCGCCGAGGGCCACGGGCTGAGGGAGCGGATCCAGGCGCTGTCAGCTGAGACAGACAACCTGGAGGTAAGCAAGCAGCAGTGGCTTTGTTAAGCACTAACGAAGTGGGCATCTGTCCCCTGGCCTGGTGACGAGCACCTCGGGGACACCGCAGAGTCAGGTGCTGCTCGTCCGTGGCAGCCCCATCCTCTCCACCACCACGCCTGGCTGACGCAGCCCCTTCCCTCTGCCCAGGCCCAGCTCTGCCGCTGCACAGCGCTCCTCTCCTCACAGGACACGGCCCTCACCCAGGTGAGCAGCACCTGGGGACACACACATCTCCGGCCACCACCGCGTCAGCCCTCGCGCTGTCCCGCAGCCCCCTCCCCAAGCCCTTGCGGCCCCTCACCACCACCCCTGTTCCACAGTCGGGGAAGCAAGTGGAGGAGCTGATGCTGGTGCTGCAGGAGTACAAAAGAGCAGTGCAGGTACAGTGCACACACACACCCCCCCTCCAGTCACAGCGAGCCCTGTGCCGGGGGGGACCCCAAACCTCTGGGCCACAGGCAGAGCCCCGAGGTGGCCACCCTTTTAGGGGGTCGGGGGCCACAGTGGCAGACCCTGTGGCTCCTCTGGCTATGGTGGGGGGTGCAGATACTGTCTGTCCTTGGGGGCTGCGGGGACAAGCCAGCGCCCAGCAGCCTCACCGGGGAACTGTGGCAGCACCGGGCCCCGCTGGTCCTGCCTCCAGGGAGGGCAGAGCGGTGCGGAAGGTGCCTGAGCACCCCATCATTCCTGATAAACCTCTCCCCCCCACCCCAGGAGCTGCAGCTGGAGACGACGCAGCTCCGCAACCAGATGGGCCAGATGCAGGACGCCTGGGCCATGTACGTGGGACTCATGGGTGTGAGCCCGGCGCCAGCTTCTCACCGATCATGCGGCATCCTGCTGGCTGGCAGCCCGGCTGCGGAAGTGGAGAATAGGGGGCAAACAGTGAAAACCAGGACTGGCGGGAAGGGGCTGGGGGGGGGGGTGGGGTGGGGGCCAGGTCTGCCTGCAGCACCAGGCACCTGAAGAGCCCTCGCTGCCAAGGCTGCCGGCAGCGTGCCGTGGCACGCCGCAGCGGGAGATGCTTGGGAGCCTCTGCCCTGCAGATCCCGCTCTGCCGGCTCCGTTAGGCTTCTGCAAAACAGGGGTGTGGGGCCTGGGGGATTCCCGCAGAGCCGGGGTAATCCCCCCGGGGCCACCAGTGAGCTGACTCCCCTGGGGCTCCCTGCCGAGCACCTTTGGGTGCCGAGGCCCTGGTTTTGGAAGCGCCTGGTGCCCCCTGTTGCGGCTTCCCCTGGGGTTCCTGCTCCCCGACACTTCCACCCCCTCCGGTGACAGCTCCCCGCTGCCATAACCCACCACCCCACTGCCCGGCACACCCTCCCCTCACCCCTCCTCTTCCTCACGCAGGCAGCCGTGGTGCCCACCGGGTGAGGCAGGCGACGTCCCGGCACAGCCGCTCGGCGCCGAGATCGAGGCAACGTGCTGGGTAAGGACGGGTGACGGGGGAGCCCTGGGCAGGGCCACCCCGGCTGCTGACCCCCCAGCCCACGGGAATGCCCAGGAGACGGGGGACACAGAGGAAGAGGAGGAGATGGAGGAGGAGGGGACAGCAGCGCCTGCGGCCCCGCGGGGGGACAGCGAGGAGCCGGCCAAGCCCCCGCAGTGCCCGTGCCCCAGAGAGAGGTAGAGGCAGGAGCAGGCAGTGTGTGCTCCGTGCAAAGCGCGTTCCCCCCCATCGGCGGCTGCCGGCTCGAAGCCCTGTGGCCGACGGCCCCGCTTCCCTCCTGGCAGGCTGACGCTGCTGCAGGTGCTGCTGGTGCTACTGGTGCTGCTGGGGCTGCTCTGCCTCCTGCCCCACCGCTGGCTGCAGCTGCCCCATGGCGGGGCCGCCTGGCCCCAGCTCCACCTCTGCTACTGGAGACCCCCACCCCAATGAAGACTGGTTGGGCATGACAGCTCCTTCAGTCCTCCCCATGACTCTCGCCAGTCCCCTCAAACCCATCCCAGTCCGCTCAGTTTCTCACCAGCCCATCCCAGTCCCCCCAGTTCCCACCCAAGTCCCCTGCGCCTCTCACCAGCACACCCCAGTCCCCCCAGGTCCCCTGCGCCTCTCACCAGCACACACCCCAGTCCCCCCCAGTTCCCACCCAGGTCCCCTGCACCTCTCACCAGCACACCCCAGTCCCCCCAGTTCCACCCATGTCCCCTGCACCTCTCACCAGCACACCCCAGTCTCCCCCAGTTCCACCCATGTCCCCTGCACCTCTCACCAGCACACCCCAGTCCCCCAGGTTCTCCAAGTCCCCTGCGCCCCTCACCAGCACACCCCAGTCCCCCCAGTTCCCCTACGCCTCTCACCAGCACACCCCAGTCCCCCCAGTTCCCACCTAAGTCCCCTGCGCCTCTCACCAGCACACCCCAGTCACCCCAGTTCCCCTGCACCTCTCACCAGCCACACCCCAGTCCCCCCAGTTCCCACCCAGGTCCCCTGCACCTCTCACCAGCACACCCCAGTCCCCCAGTTCCTACCCAGGTCCCCTGCGCCTCTCACCAGCACACGCCAGTCCCCCCAGGTCCCCTGCGCCCCTCACCAGCACACCCCAGTCCCCCCAGTTCCCCTCAGTTCCCCTGCGCCTCTCACCAGCACACCCCAGTCCCCCCAGTTCCCCTGCACCCCTCACCAGCACACCCCAGTCCCCCCAGGTCCCCTGTGCCCCTCACCAGCCCATCCCATCCCCAGGGACCGCCCGGCAGGTGCGTGAGGGGTGCAGGGGGGCTGGTGAGGGCCATGGGGTGCCACTCCCAGCCCCTCCCCCTCCCCCCCCCCCCCAAACCAGGCTCAGACTCAACATCTCAACATCAACTTTATGGGCCCAGCGGGGGGGCCGCGGGGGGCCGGGCCCCCCCAGTCTCTCCATGGCTCTGGGGGGTTCCGTCACAGCCCCCGCAGGGGCCCTCCCGCGCCCCCCAGGTCCCTCCATGCCTCCGGGGGGCATCTGGGGGGTCTCCATCTCTCCCGCGGCCCCGATCCTGTGGCCGGCCTGGACAGGGAGTGGGGTGGGGGTGAGGACCCAGGCAACTGGGCAGCCCCCCCCCCCTCCCTCCCCCCCCAAAACCCCCTGTGGGGGACCCCGGCATCTGAGTACACCCCCCCCACCCCCATACCTGAGTCCATCCCTGGCTCCCCGCCCGCCCGCTCAGGTCCCATCCTGCTCGGATGTTGGGGTCCCCTGCGAAGGCTGGGGGGGGGGAGGGGGGGGGGAGGAGCAGAGAGGGGTGGACACCCAGCACCCCCCAGTGCTCCCACTCCAGTGCCTACCGCACTCCCACCCCAGCCCCAGCGCTCCCTGGGAGCAGTGCTGCCCCCAGTTTACCCCCCCCCGCCCCCCACCCCCCCCCAGCCTCATCCCCAGCGCTCCCCTAAACATCTCTCCTGCGACCCCCCCCCCCCCCCAGCGCTCCCAGTGCCTCCCCACCTGGGCACAGGGCCACCTCCACAGGGCCCATCCCGCTGCCGCCAGGGCCAGGGCCCCCACCAGCCCCCCCAGCAGCACCAACCCATGGATGCCGGGGCTGGGGGGGCCCAGCTGCGACCCCAGGGTCCTCCTGTCCTGCACCGCCGGGGGGGTCAGCGAGGGGCCTGGGGGCAGACGGGGATTACAGGGATCCCGAGGGGTGCTGCGGGGGGGGGGGGGGTGGTGTGTGTGTGGTGTCCCTGGGGTGGGGGGGGTACCTGGGGTGGGGGGGGTACCTGGGCGGCAGCGCAGGCGGGCGCAGCCGAGGAAGTTGGGGGGTCGCCCCCGCAGCCCCCCCAGGTGCTGCACGAGGGCTCCCAGCAGCTGCGACACGTTCACCGTCTCTAGCCGGACGCAACCCTCGGGGTCCTGGGCGGGGGGGGGGGGGGGCGGAGGGGGTGTCATGAGAGCCCCCAAATCCCCCCTGGCTGGGACCCCTCCCTGTGAGAAGCCAGGGGGCCCTAAATCCTCCTCACCCCCCCCCACCCTGGGGACCCCAGAAATGCCCCAGAGCTTCCTGGCACCAGCAGAGCTCCCACAGCCCCACCCAGAGACACCACACCACACCCCCCCCCCCCCCAAAAAAATCCCAGCGTTACCTTGGCCGCTTCAGAGACCCCCCCCCCCCAAACCCCTGCAGGGTCCTCAGAGCCCACCCTGGGATCCCCAGACCCGCCCCCCCCCCCCGAGTTACCCTGCACCCCCCGAGTCCCTGCTGGGCCCCTCCCAGGGTCCCTAGAGCCCCCCCCGCCGCAGCCTCCCAGCCCTCCACAAGCCGCTCTCGGGACCCCAGCCCCCCTCCCTGCCCCCCCCCGCCCCCCAGGACCCCCCACTCACATGGATGCTGCACTCGGCCACGAAGGCGACGTGGGCAGCGACTGCCTGGAGCCGGGGGGCCAGCGCCTCCCCCGCCACCCCCACCATGCGCCCCAGTGCCACCGCCCCAAATGCAGCCCCCAGAGGTGGGTGCAGTGGCTGTCCTGGGGGGGGTGGGGGGGGGGAGGGGCAGACACGGGTCAGGGGAGGATACACGGAGGGGGGGGGGGTGTCACACAAGGTTGGGGGGCACAGGTGGGGGGTCCGGGGCGGGGGGGGGGGGGTCTCGCTCACTGTCTCCAGGTTGCTGGGCATCGCCACGGGGTAGTCCAGGACCAACCAGGGGGTCTGCGGGACCGGAACAGGGCTTAAGGGGTCCCAAAAAAATCCAGAGTCTGATGGGGTCTCAGAGAATCTGGGAGGGAGGGGGTGTGCCAGGGGGTTTGGGGGACCCAGGGTGGGGCTTTCCCTGGGAAATGAGGGCGGTCAGAGGGTTGGGGGACACACACACACTCCTGGGGGTCCCAGGGGAGCTTGGGGGCGGGTCCCAGGGGAATCCTAGGAGGATTCAGGGACAGGACTTCTACGTGGGGGGGGGGGTGTGGGTGGTCAGGGGGTTTGGGGGGGGTCCCGGGGTGTCCCTGGGATCCCAAAGGGATTTAAGGGGTCCCGTGGGGGTCTCACCAGGGCTTCCACGTGAGTGCTGAAGGTGCTGCTGACGGGGTTGAAGTCGAAGGAACAACAGCCGCCGGGGGGGGCACGGCCAGGAGGCAGGAGGGGAACCTGGGGGGGTACCGGGGGGGTGGGGGGGATTGGGGGTCCCATGGGGGTCCAGGCACGTTGCGGTAGGTGGTGGGGGAGCTACGGGGGGTCCCCGGGTTAGAAGCGTGGTCGGAGTCAGGGGGTTGCGAGGGGTGGGGGGGGATTGGCACGGGAAGGGGAACGGGGGTGCCGTGGGGTCCCCACTTACCAGTGCGGAACCGGGGGGGTCGGGGTCCATGGCGGGGCCGGCGGAGGGGAGGGGAGGGGAGAGCGAGGAGCCGGGACCCCCCCGGGACCCCCCGGGGCTGCGGCGGAGCCGCCGCCGAAACCGAAAGCGGCGCCGAACTGGACGGCGGCTGGGAGGGACCCGGGCGCCGGGGGTGGGGACCCGGGCGGCTCCCCACCCAAAACCCCCCCCCCCCGAGGGACCGGGGCGGCTCCCTCCCCCCCCCCCCCCCCCCCCCAAAGGACTCGGGCGGCTCCCCCCCCAACCCTCCCCGAGGGACCAGGACGGCTCCCCCCACGCCCCCCCCAACCCTCCCTGAGGGACCGGGGCGTCCGGGAGCCGCCCCCTCTGCCCCCCCCCCCAAGGGACCCAGACGTGTGTGTGTCGACCCCCCCCCACCCCGTACGATGCCGCTCTAACCCCAGGGTGCGGCTGCCTCGAGCGCGAGGGCACCCATGCGTGGGGGGGGGAAATCTCATGGCACGGGGGGACACTCCCCCCACCCCAAACCCCCTTTATGGGCAGAGGCAGGGGGCGGCCGGTTGTGTGTGTTTATTGGAATCAGTCGTTGGTCGGGGGTGTCTCAGTTTGGGGGGGGGGTGTCGCAGGTCAGGGGCCACCAGGATCACCCCCCCGGCACCCAGAGGCAGCGGGGGCGGGTGCAACGCAGCTCCAGCTCCTGCTCAGCGCCGGGGGGGGGCTCCTGCCCCGGCCCCCCCAGGATCCCTCCTGGGACCCACACGTGGGCAACACTCCCGGCCGAAGCCCAGTCGGGGTCCTGGGGGAGCAGGGAGGGGGGGGGGCTGCTGAGGGTGTGGGGGGGCATGGGATACGCCCCCCCCAACCACCCCCCCCCAGGCACTGCCCCTGTGATGGGGGAACCCACCATTGCTGGGGACCCCCCCCAGTGCCACCCCTGTATCGGTGCTCAGTGTCCCCCCCCCCCCAGTTACTCACCGTGCCCCCCCGCAGAGCCACAGCCCATCAGGGTGGTGTTGCGCCAGCGTCGCCCCGTCGCCCCTGGGCCCCCCTGGCAGGACCGTCAGGGCCCCCCCCGGGAGCCCCGCACCCACCAGCGCCTGCGGACAGAGGATCAGGATGCGGCCATGGCCTCGTGGAGGGGGGGGCGGGGGGGGGATGGGGGTGTCAGTCGAGGGGGGCAGCGGGAGGGGTGACTGTGAATGGGGACGTGGGGGAGCCTGGGGGGGGGGTGGGGGGGAGTGTCTCAGGAGCATCATCAGGAATGAAGAGGGAGATCTTGGGGGGGGGGGGGGGGGGGCAGGGAGGGGGATTCACTGGGCATCGCTGGGAGAGTCAGGGGGTGGGATCCTGGGGAGATCCTCGGGGGATCCTCAGAGGGGTCCTGGCGAGGTCAAAGGGGGGGTTCCGTGGGGGGGGGGGGGGGGGGGGAATCCCAGAGGGAAGGACTGGGGATCCTGGGAGGGTCTGCGGTGGCTGCCGGGAGTCCCTGAGGGGTCCCTGGGGGTCGGGGATCCCTGGGGGGTCGGGGGCTCCGCGGGTCCCCACCTGGCGCAGGCGCAGAGCGGGACCGACGCCGCTAGGGGGCCACCACCACCAGGCCGTTGCCGAGCGCCAGCGCGGGGGGGAGGAGCTCCAGCGCGCGCGGCAGGGGCGCGGCCCGCTCCAGGCCACGCCCACCACCCCCAGCGGCCTGCGCGTCACCAGGGCCCGCCCCCCGGGCCGCTCCTGCGGAAGCGCGTTAGCAACGCCCCCAGCCGAGGCCCCGCCCACAGGCCCCGCTCTCATCCACGCCCCCTCCCCGCCTCCTGCTGGCCGGACCCATCGCCCCAAACGGGACACTTCACCCCGCCCCCTTGTGGCTGGCCACGCCCCTGAAGCATCCAGCCCCGCCTCCTTGTGGCTGGCCACGCCCCTGAAGCATCCAGCCCCGCCTCCTTCTGGCTGGCCACGCCCCTGAAGCATCCAGCCCCGCCCACTGCTGTCTGACCACGCCCACCCAGCCCCGCCTGCTGCTGCCTGGCCCCACCCCCATCCCCGCCCCCTCAGGCATCTGGCCCCGCCCCCTGCCTCACCGACCCCAGGGCTCAAGCCCTCAGGCTCCACCCCTCCCGCTCGACCCCACCCCCTTCGTGCCCCGCCCACCTGCACGGCCCCGCCCACCAGCTCCGCCCGCGCTGCCCACCGCAGCAGCCACCCCCTCAGCCGCCCGTCGCTGTCGTCACCGTCGCTCCCGGGGGGTCCCTCGGGGCTGCCCCCCCCCAGCGCCGCCGCCGCCTCCAACAGCACCCGGCCCGCGCCGGCCCCGGCTGAGACCCCCCCTGTGGAAGGGCCGTGGGAGCTCTGGGGACCCGACCCCCCCCCCCCACAGCGGGGAGCCAGGCACCCAGGGAGCCCACTCCCCCCCCCCCCCCCCCCAACAGCCCAGGGACTCAGGCGTCCAGGGACCAGACCCCCCCCCCCCAGCAGACCTGACCCCCCTCCAGCAGGAACCCAAGTCCCCCCCAGAAAAGACCCAGGCCCCTGGCTGCCCCCCCCCCCTCCAGCAAGGACCCAGGCCCCCCCCCCCAGCCCCCGTCACTCACCCCAGGGCACCGCGGCGGGCAGCCTCCACGGCTGCAGCGATGTCACGAGGTGGGGGCCACCACGGGCCCCCCCGAACGGGATCTAAGCTAAGGGGGGGGGGGGGGGGGCAGCATCAGGGATCAGAGCACTCGACTCGGGGGGGGGGGGTGGGGTGGGGGGGTTGTCCCCAAGATGCGTAAGGGGTGCCATTACCTGACCTCCTGGTCCAGGAGGGTCTCAGGAGTGACCCCTGGCCCCAGGGGGGGTTCCAGGGGGGGCGCCCGAACTCTCGCAGTGTCTGGAGGCGGGGGGGGGGGGGGGGGGGCATGGCCAATCTGCACTGGGACAGGGCCCCCGCAGCCCCCAGGCTCACCCTGGGGTCCCCAAAGCCTTCTCCCAGCCCCCACCAAATGACCCAGGACCCCCCCTCAGGGAGCCCAGAGCCCCCCCCCCCCCCCCCGAGCCCCCACAGTCCCCCCACCTCCAGGCTGGCGCCGGCCCCCCCGGTGCAGCCCCCCACCAGGTCCAGCGGGTCGAGCGCGTTGAGCCACACCAGCCCCAGGGGCAGCCTGTGGGGTCAGGGGTCAGAGATCAGAGCAGGCACGGCCAGGACCAGGGGAGGGTCACGGGGTCAAGGTCAAGGTCACCTGTCGGCTGTGTCAAGGGCAAGGGTCACGTCCTGGGCCCAGACGGCGCCGGCAGCTGCGTGGGGCAGCCCCGAGGCCACGGTGACGGCCTCCCCCGGGGAGCGCACGGGCAGCAGCACCAGCACGGGCCCCGGCACCTTGGGGAGGGATGGGAAAGGGGGCGATGTTAGCGTACCCCCAATCTGCAGCCCCCCCAACTCCCCCTCCTGCCTGCCCCCCGGCCCTTTGGAACGCCCCCCTCCCCGTTTTTTCACCCACCCACCCCCCCCCCCAGGCACCCACCAGCTCTCGGAGGCAGCGTGAGGTGGGGGCTACCCCCGTGATCAGGGTCGGGGGGTAGAAGCGGCCCCCCGGGGGCAGCGTCACCGGCAGCTGGAAAACCTGGGGGGGGGGAGGAAAGGACCCTGGTGTACCCCCAAACCCCCCCCACCCCGTGGGACCCAGGTGTTCAGGTACCTCCCAAGAGACCCCCCCCCCCCCCAATGTCCCCATAGTCCCCCCGTTCCCACCCCAGCCCCGAGCCCTTCTGTGTCCCCCCCACGCCCCCTTACCTCAGCCCCTCCATGTCCCCCCGTGCCCCCTCCCTGCTGTGCCCCCCCCGTGTCCCTCCACATCCTCCCACATTTCCCAATGTCCCCCAGTGCCTCCCCTACCCCCCACATCCACATTTCACCCCAGCCCCCCATGTCCTTTCCCACACCCAGGCCCCTCCGTGTCCCCCAGCCCCACCCCAGGCCCCCTCACATCAGCCCCCCCATGTTCCCTCCCATCTCCGTGTCCCCCATTTCCTCCTTGCCCCCCAAATCCACATTTTGCCACAGCCCCCCCATGTCCTCTCCCACCCCCGTGTCCCCCTGGGCCCCCCCGGGTCCCCTCACCTCAGCCCCTCCTCACGTGCTGCTTGCACCAGCGCCTCTGGGGGGGTGGCTGTGGGGGCAGTGGCCCCACATCAGTGCCGGGGTCCAGGGGTCCCCGACCCGCAGCCCCGCCAGCCTGGCCCGGAGGCGCCGTTCCAGCGGTGCACCACTCCCTCCTGCGCCAGCACCACGCAGCCCCCCCACGGGAACTGGGAACACAGAGGCGGGGGGGGGCTGGGGTGTCAGGGAGCTGACAGGTGCTCCCAGACACCCCTAGGATCTCCCAAACTCTCCAGGACACTCCCCCAATCCCACCCCCCCTGGACTCACTAGTGCTGGGGGGGTCCCCACGCTCCCCACGATGGCGGCAGCTGCACTGTCCAGGTCGGCCGAGTCGAGGACGATGACGACAACCCGGCCCCCCCGGGCCCTTCCCAGCCGTGGTCCCCAGCATGGGGACCCCCAGGCCACGTCCTGCACCTCCTCCTGCACGGGGGGGCGGGGGGAACATACACACACGAGAATAGGGTGACACACCCCCCCCCTCCCGTCACATGCTGATCCTCCGCCGGGGACACGGGGACACCCCCAGGTCACCCCCCTCCTCCCCCCGCATACCTGGTGGGCACCGAGGAAGGTGACGGCAGCGAGGCGGGGGTGGGCACGGAGGGCGCGGCGCAGGCTGGGGGTCCCCGTCACCACGTTGAGCAGCCCAGGGGGCAGAGCCCCCCCCGCCCCACACAGCTCCGCCACCAGCAGCGGCAGCAGCGGGGCCTCGGCCGACGGCAGCACCAGCGCCGCGTTGCCTGTGCAGGATACCAGCGTCTCCTGGGGGCCTGGGCCCCCCCCCCAAAACACCTGGGCCTCCCCACAACGAGACACCAGGGGTTCCTGTCCCCCCCCACAAATGCCTGGGTCCCTTCCCCAGACACCTGGGGCCCCCAACCAGACACTGGGGGTCCCTGCGTCCTCCATCTGGACACCCCAACCGGATACCAGGGTCCGTCCTGTCGTCCCCCCCTCAAATGCCTGGGGTCCCCTCCCCAGACGCTCAGGTCCCCTAAGGCCAGGTTTCCCCCCTCAAATACCGGGGTCCCCCACCTCACCCATGGCCAGGAGGGGTCCCAGCTTCCAGAGCAGCGCCGCCAGCGAGCAGGGACCCGACACGACAATAGCCACCACGCCTGGGGACAGCGGGGTGGGGGCTCAGCGGGGTCCTGGGGGGCGTTAAAGCCCGGGGGGGGGTCCCAGGGGACACTCACCAAGGGGATCCCAGCTGCCCAGGCCGGGGGGGCCGAGCTGGGCCCACCCTGCCGGCCCCCGCAGCAGCTGCAGCCCCAGTTCCAGGTCGGCCCCGAGGGTCTGTGCCAGCGGCCGCCCCCCTGAGAGAGCAGCCACGGCCCCCACCCCCGCAGCCCCCCGCTCCAGTGCTGCCGCCAGCCTGTGGGGACAGGGGGGGGGCAAGGGGGGGTGAGGGCATGGAGGGACAGGGGAGTGTGGGGAGGCACAGGGGTGACGCGTGAAGCTGGAGGTGGTCCCGGGGTCACAGAAAGGTGGGGGGGGGGGGGGGGGGCGGTCCTGGGAGGTCCAGGAGTCACACTGCTATGGGGTAGAGGTGTCTGGGGGGGGGGGGGCGGATTTGGGGTAAGGCGATGGGGGCACAGGGGGTTGGGGGAAGCCCCGGGGTGGGGCCAGAGCTCAGGAGGACTCACCGCTGCAGGTGCTGGGCCCGCTGGGGCCCCCCCAGTCGCCCCCATTTCACCGCTGCCGCCGCCGCCGCATCCACAGCGGCCTCCAGGTCGGCCTCCTCCCCGCGCGGCACCGTCGCCAGCAGCCGCCCTGGGTGGGGGGGGTGGGGAGGGGGTGGGTGTGACCTCTCACCCTGACCCCCCTCTCCCCAAACCCCTGATCCCCCCCATACCGCTGGCAGCCTCCCGGCACTCCAGCCTCCCCCGTCCCGGCGGCTTCAGCCACGTCCCGGCCACGAAGTGCCCCAGGGCCCGGCCGTGAGTCTCCAGCCATGCCTGGAGGCGGGGGGGGGGGGTGCCCGGACCCCTTGGGTTCCTCCAGCCCGGACACCGGGGGTCCGTCCCCCCCCCCCGAACAGGGGGTGGGACCCCGACATCCCCAAAAACGACCTTCGGCCCGCAGCAGGGAGAGGACGCAACACCCAGGCGCTTCCCCGCCCTCGACTTTGCCCCCAGCACCCACCCCCATGGACCCTGACCCCTCCCAGGGCACCCGAGCACCCCACAACCCCCTCCCAGGCATCTGGGCCCACCCCCACACCCTCTGTGGGGACCCCAGGCCGCCTGCCCAACCCCTTAACCCCCCACAGCCCCCCCCCCTCAGTGTGTGCGTGTCCCCAATTCACCCCAGCTCCCCCCGCGGGCCCTCTCAGTGCCCCCCCAGTGCTCTCCCCCGCCCCCCTTGCTCCCCTCGGACTCTCCGTGAACCCCCCCCCCAGCCCCTCAAAACCCCTCTGAGTTCCCCCAGACCCACTCCTAGCCCCAAACCCCCCTCCCCAGACCATCCATGGGTTCCCCGCAGCTCCCCTCCGGCCCCTTGGGACCCCCTCACCTCCCCCGGTGCGGCCCCCCCGAGCCTCGGCCCCTCTTCCATGGTGCTGAAGATCCCCGGGACCGGCAGGGACCCCAGCGCCGCCATCGCACCAACGAGACGAACGCCCGGGCGGAGCGAGCGGCCCCAGTGCTACCGCGGAACCATAGAGACGCCCCCACCCCCGGAAGCGGAAGTGCCGTGCGGCGGGAGGAGAGCGGCGGCCGGTATCGGGCTGAGGGGGGGGGGTGTCCCGGTTTCCCCCCGTTCCGCTCCCTCCCCCCCCGCAGCCCATGGCGGACCCGTCGCTGCTGTCGGCCGAGCTGGAGGCGGAGCTGGGGGGGGATGACGAGACGCTGCGGCGGCTCCTGCTGCAGGTGGGACCGGGGGGGGGGGGGGGTGTCCCGGTGTTTGGGGGGGGGGGGGTCCCGGTACTGACCGTGCTGTCCCTCTGCCCCCTTCCCCCCAGGTGACGCAGGACGATGAGGACCCCCCCCCCACGACCCCCTCCCGCGCTGTCACCCCCCAGCCAGGTCAGGGGAGGCTCCAGGGAGGGGGTTTGGTGTGTGGTGGGGGGGTGTGTGACCCGGCCTTCCCCCTGACACCCCCCTTTTTCCTGCCCCCCCCCCCCCCTCAGGGCTGTGCGTGAAGACCCGGGCGGGGGGGGCCAAGGTCTTTGTCAACGTCTGTCACTCACGGGAGGTGCCCCCGCCACCCCCCGCTGTCCCCCCCCGGGCTGCAGCGGCTCCTCCACGCTCCCCCCACGGCTGCTGGGGCCTTCCGCATCCCCATGAGCCTGGGGGAGCCCCACGCCGAGCTGGACCGCGGTAAGAACAGCCCCCCCTCAACCCCCCCCCCCCCCCCCCCACCTCTGATCCCTCAACGCCCCCCCGTGACCCCCCCCATCTCCCATAGCCGGCCAAGGCTGCACAGCCTACGATGTGGTGGTGAATTCGGGATTTTTCCGCACCCTCCAGGTGAGGAGGGGGGGGGGGGCAGAGGGGGTGGGGGGGCTTGTGAAGGGATTGAGGGGAGTCACAGCCCCCCCCCTCACCCCCCACCCTACCCCCCAGGCTGACCCCCTGTACCTGGAGTTCTTCCTGACGGTGGCCATGGAGGGGTTGTCAGAGAAGTACGGGGTGGAACTGGAGCTGACTGGTGAGGGGGACTGGGGGGCACTGGGAGTGGGGGGGGATGGGGGGGGGTGAATGGGAGGGGTCTCACCCCCTTGCCCCCTCCCCAGGCTGGCGGGTGCTGCAGAACCGCAAGTTCATGGGCTCCATCTCAGCCCAGAATATCCGGGCGCGGCCCCGGCCCCACATCCAAGAGCTGGAGGGGTGAGTGATTGGGGGGGGGCCCCCCTGACACCCCTGGTGTCCCCGGGGACCCCCGTGTCCTCCCCCTGACCCCTCTCTCCCCACAGATCCCCACAGCAGCTGCCGCCCCCCCCCAGGTAGGAGCTGTGGGACCGAGCAGGGATGGGACGCCCCCCCCCGGGACCCCCCTGCCTGACCCACCCACCCCCCCCCCGCAGCCCCCCAGGGCCCCCCCAGTTTGTGGTGGTGGCCGAGCCCTCATCCCAGCACCCCCAGGTGCTGCAGGCACGCGTCCTCCTGCCCCATGCCGTAAGTGGGGGAAACTGGGGGGCAACTGGGAGGAGTGGTGTGGGGCTGGGGGGCAACTGGAAGGAGCGCTGTGGGGCTGGAGGGGAACCGAGAGGAGTGATGTGGGGCTGGAAGAGTGCTGAAAGGGAGCTGGGAGGAGTGGTGTGGGGCTGGGGGGAAACTGGGAAGAGTGGTGTGGGGCTGGAGGGGAGCTGGGAGGTGTGGTGTGGGGCTGGAGGGGAGCTGGGAGGAGCGGTGTGGGGCTGGGGGGGAGCTGGGAGGAGCGGTGTGGGGCTGGGAGGAGCGGTGTGGGGCTGGGGGGGAGCTGGGAGGAGCGGTGTGGGGCTGGGGGGGAGCTGGGAGGAGCGGTGTGGAGCTGGGAGGAGCGGTGTGGGGCTGGGGGGGAGCTGGGAGGAGCGGTGTGGGGCTGGGGGGGAGCTGGGAGGAGCGGTGTGGGGCTGGGAGGCGTGGTGTGGGGCTGGGGGGGAGCTGGGAGGAGCGGTGTGGGGCTGGGAGGAGCGGTGTGGGGCTGGGGGGGAGCTGGGAGGAGCGGTGTGGGGCTGGGGGGGAGCTGGGAGGAGTGGTGTGGGCTGGGGGGGGCGCTGAAAGGGAACTGGGAGGGGTGCTGTGGGGTTGGGGTTGTCCCAGTAAAGGTTTGGGGACCCGGGGGGGGCGGGGTGAGGTTCAGGTGGGGCTGCCTGGCCCCGCCCCTGACCCTGCCCCTCCCCCGGCCCCGCCCAGACAGGGGCGGGGTCCCTGTGGGTGGGGCTGAGCGAGGAGAGGCTGGTGCTGGGGGGGGGGGGGGCGGCCCCCCCCTCCTGCAGCTGGGGCTGCCCCTCCCCCCCGACCCTGCCCGCTGCCACGCCCGCTTCCACCGACGCACCAAGGTAACCGTCGCCATGGCAACCCCTGGCCCCACCCCCCCCTCCCGGCCCGCCCCTTCCCGGGAGGCTTCGCCACCCTGACCCCCCCCAACCGACCCCCCCCCAGGTCCTCACCGTGACGATGCCGCTGCGGGCGTGAGGGGCCCCGTTTCCGCGTGTTTTGTGCAAAAACCGGCAAATAAAGCGTGATCCGAGGGTGCCTACGGGTGACGCGCGTGCGCGTGACGCGCGCGTGCCTGCGACGCGTCTAAGCGTGAGCGCGCGTGCACGCGACTGTGTCAGACGCCCGCGCGTGACCCGTGAGCGTGTAAGTGCCACACGCCCGTGCGCGTGTGCATGGGGGTGGCCCGCCTGCGTGCGCGGTGCGACGCTCGCGTGGTGTGGGAGGTGTCTGGGCGCGTGTGGCACGCGAGC